ACCAAAAGAGAGAACGGGTTAAAGAGAACGCCTCAAACGGGATCCACAAGCAAACATGTCCGAAAAACACTTCATAGACAATGCAAATTACAAACAGACTTTACAAGCTCTGAACAGTGGCACAACAAAGGGTAAAATGGTCCATTACAGACCGAAAAGCTCTCGCACGTGTCCACATGACACAACCTTTATTTACAAGCCTAAAGAGGCCACCAACCCAACTAAAATGGGACTATTAAGCCTTCGGCCGCCCCTTTACATTCTGTACAGGGCATGAACATGCCAAAAGACACGGACACACATAAGCATTACATCCAACATCTTGTTGAGAAGTTTGTCCGTGACAATGTGGCAAAAGTGTTCAACTGTATCAATGTCTAACATGGAAACTGTGGACATAGCAAGCATTTTGGAGAATTGATGCTTTATAGGCCGCATCCTCGTTTTCTTGGACTCATTAAATGGTCAGCGATCCCCACATTTTCATTGCTATCATCCCTCCTACCCCAATCACCTTGGGCAAGACTAGGATATCATTCATTTCATATATTCATTAGCACTACATTGTTCCATAAATCAAATGCTGATTAAGACATGTTTTAGATACATGAAACTGAAACCCTTTTCACAAAACATCTTTGTTTCCACCATATTGAAAAATGATAAAACAAAACACTCAGAGTAAAATCTATAACTTTCAATGAGATTAAACTTTTGAAATGTTTAGCAGTTGAGAATAAAAGATCTGAGAGTTGATGATATTAAATGGCTTCTCAAGAGGACTATTGCATCCATTTCCCACAACTGGTTAGAAATGCAAACAGAACACACAGAGGTAGGAATTGATCTTGCTAACAAATACTTACAAGACAACCCAATTATAGAGACTAAGGGAAGAGTATAACTAGTTCCTGAAGTTATCTGGATATTCAGTAGCTGGTTGTTAGAATGGGAAACCAAAAAAGGGTTCCTTCAGCAATAAAGTGACAATGCAACAATAACAAAATCAACCTTATATCACACTTGTTGACAATTATTGGTCTGTTCTTGGTCCTTGTAATAAGCAATACTTAAGCTCCACGAAGAAGGGCTTCTAAATATGCAGTTAAGTTGATAGGTAAGCTAGAGCTACTTATATGCGATTGTCATGTGATTGTTCAGTTGATGATATGTTGAATACTTTATAATGAGAAAAAAGAAACTTTTCATATGTTTAAGAGGGTTAAAATATGGCAACAGTTAAGATTAGCATTACATATTACCACTATGCCAAATCACTGCAACAAACAAGTAACTAGAAAGGAAATTAATTTCTTTGATACTCAAGCTTTATAACTTTGTCCAAATACATGACCAGAAGGACCTAAAAGGCAGTAATCAGATAGCATATCTTAATTTGATGTGAAGAAGTTTACCAGTGGTTGAGTAACCTTTGAACTGGAAAGCTTAAGAAGCTTCCTTAGAGCATCTTTGTTCTCTGCTTTTCCCTGAAGATCATCAGCACTGTATTGAACTCTGATATAGTTATCTGTAGAAGGATTCCATGCATCTGTATCAATACCATTAAGAACCCCAACAAATTTCTTAGAAGAAGATTTTAATGTTTCATGGAGTCCCCGACCACCCTGTCAAAAGAAGCAACACATCAGTAAGAGCAGAAAGTCAAAGAAGCTACACATATATGTTTAAATACTAAATAAGTCAAAAACCAGAGCCAAAAAGCATTTTTTTAGTAAAATAGATGCAGTTCATGACTATAGAAATAAAATCTGACATTTAAGGACAACCATTTCAAGTATAAACCAAAAGGTATATTGAGCTAGACATTGCTCATTACAATTAAAATAAGGAAACAACTATGAGGACATAAACAATGTTATCAATGATAAACATTATAAGCTGAACTTCTGGGGTATCCCATGGACCATATACCTGGATTGAACAATGAAACAAACATATTTCAGTGGAAAAGGGACCTGTTACTTAAGAGAATTTTCTTAACTATGAAGAGTGAAGACTACTATAATTGAAGTCTCAGTCATCATCAAGAAGAAAAAATAAGTAACAACTTAACTATAATCACAACTCGTATAATCAAGACAAGTATCTAGTATTAGTACACTAATTTGCTATATGATAAAAACCTGAGAAACTACAAACAATTGCATAATATGCATGAAAATAAGAACTTCCTACTGAGTTGCAACCTCAGCTGCGGTTATTCATGTGATAAGTAGGCATAAGGACCTTGTTTAACTTTCATGCCATATAAATGAAAAAGAAATGCTTTAAAGATCTGAACTGCCTAGTGATGCCGTTCCATATGTGCTGGTTGACCGTGGTAGAGCCAATCAATCACATCAAGCAGACTTGGCAAGTGAAAATGTACAAGAAGCCACCAAGTAGATGTTCTTGATATGTTGTTTTATAAAACTCATACAACTATCTAGTCTTTTTATTTTTCTGGTGATATTTTCTGTAAGTCCATAGGTCAATTTTTCTCTTGGGTCAATGATAAACTGGCAATGAATCAGTATATTCTCAGAGGGTTCATTCTCCTTTGTGATTCAGTTGCATCAAGTTTAAACAAGCATAACAAGCTTCCAGGCAACAGAAATATCCACATGGATCAAGAAATTATATGTTTTACTTTTAAAGTGTAATTAGCCAAGCCATGCCAAACCTAGGATCTGATTAGGCTAAGCACAAACCCCTGTACCCAGGATGTAACACTACATTTTTATTCTTCTGCCTAATCACATATTATACTCAACAGGATTAGGTGCCCCAGATATCTTCGAGTAACTTAATTTGCATTAATCTGCATGCACTTAAATATTTGGAGGCTTACAGTTACAGCTCCAATAAGGTTATTAACTACTAGACAGCAGAGGCCCAAATGCCCAGATACCTTTATATCATGCACAATATCCTGCTCTGTGGTAAGCAAAAATCTGAATCATAAAGGAAAATACAACATTTGCAGATGTTTTCAGAAAGGTTGATCAGTACCTCTATAGTGCACACCTCTTGAGCATAAGTTGGTGATACAGTGGTAACAATGTTAGAGAACACAATTGCACCCTGAAATTTTACTCCACTGCTTTATCAACAAAATAGGAGGAAAAAAAAATTCCATACTTTTAGTAGGTCTATTTCACTGACATTTGCATAATGGTCTCTTAAATTACCTTGACAGGATTGACCTTATCATGTGCTGAATTGTCCTGCATTCTGTCAGGTCTATTTAGGTGGTGAACATTAAGTCCACAGGATGCCAACTCTGAAGCAGGTGCTGTCCCCTGATATTCGAAGTTGTGGCAGGTGAAGCAAATTCTAGCTGAATTAAAACCTTTGGCAGCATATATATCCCAATAAAGTGGTGCCTGAAAATAAAGAACTCGGTTACATCTGGGATTTTAGAAAATGTCAACCACAGCTGTGTAACTGAAATTCCATTAACAAGCAAGGGGCATTCGATCATTTAACATGATGTCAGCAGATGGTACTTAGTGCCTACAACAAAAGCTGTCTGCCAATCATGACAATGAATTATGTCAGGTTTTTTCCCAGCTTGATAGAGCAATTCAAGAGCAGCACGGCTAAAGAATGAAAAACGTTTGAAGTCATCATGCTCTCCATAGTATTTTCCTCTCCAGAAGAACTTAGCTGGATGATGAGGCTCTATAAAATACACAGGCAGACCTGCAAATCACATTCTTGTGAACCTCAATTTGTTAAAATATATCACTTCTTTTAGATTAAAGGCTAAAAATCTGTGTCAATCAAGCTTTAGACCTTCAATAGTCCCAATCCAAATTTTATTCTTGAACGTCCGTCCATCAAAATAAGACTCTACTACAACATCCAGAGCCTGCAACATTAGCCAAACTGAGAATTTAGTAGAAGAAACAGCTCGTTTTCCCAAAAGATAGAAACAATACAATGTAACAAGCAAGTAATATACCTTCAGGTCAGTGATAAGATCATGCTCCATGCAATCATATTTTGGAAGGATAATTTCTACCAAGTGTCCCTTCCGCTGTAGTGCTTTACCAAGACCAGACACAACATCCCCTAAGCCACCAACCTAAACACATAAATAGATAAGAACATGATTGGATAAAAGAACGGAGAAGTTGAGTTTAACAAAAATACAAATTAAACAAAACAGATTAAATAAATTTACACACAGGCAACAACCTTATAGTCAAACAGACATATTTAGAGGGGCCTCACATTCCTTTGACTTTGAGCGGATGCTTACGAAGTTGGTTCAAGAGCAAAACAATGAAACAGAAAACTAAAACAACAGTCTAGCATTCACAAAGTACTTCAACAAATTAGCACCTATCATCATTAGTTAGTGACCAAGCTACCTTATCTTGCTGATTCATTTGCAACAATAAATAACTTGGATTCAATTTAAAAGACAAAAGGTACTTCAACTTTATTCGAAAGCTTCTTCTGCTGACTGAACAATAAGGTACTTCAAAAGCTAAAACAAAAGATGTAAATAATCTCAAAACCAATTTGACATGTATTCAAATTGAAAGACACGGAACATATGAGTTAAACTTGGAATAGCATATTGCAAAATTTATCATAAACATAAATCATTTTGATTTCAACTGTGACTTTGCCTCACCTTTGCAACTGGAGCCATTTCTGCTGCAATATGGATTATGTGCAATCCTGGGCTGCATAAGTGAAACAGAAAAAAAGAGTAAATGTAGACATGTTTCACACTATAATGTTATACTGTTTCATATGATAATGTTATATAGATCACATCTACCCGTGATGGCAACAAGAAACCCAACCTTTTGCGAGAGTACGTCAACTTGAGGAACGTAGCCACCTTTTCATGCTCATTCTTGCTCCTACTTGCCAAAAATGCATCATGAATCTGAGCATCCTTCTTCCATATCATTTCTCTCAACAACTTAGCATCATTAGGTGAGATTTTCTTCTCAAGTAACCAACCTTCAATTATAAGCAGTAAACGACTCCAGAATTCCCAAGGCATATTTTCCAATGAAGATTTTTGAGATCTTTTCTCGCTTTCTTCTTTTAATTTAGTTAGTGTATGATGAAATTCTCTAACTGATTCTTGAAACATCTCAATTTGGGAATGTATTTCTAGATCAGACTCCTGCAATCGTTTCTCCAATATATCAATTTTCTGTTGCAGAATCTCATCAAAATGGTGAAACTTTTCAGATGGAAACTTTGACATATTTGTTTCTGTTATTGACGCTTCTAACTTGTCAACCTTCTTCTGCAGCTCATGATATTGTTGTAAATCTAAAGAAGGATGGTCCAACTTTTGCCTTGCATTATCAAACAATGCTTGTAAATTTTCAACCTTGATCGACAAACCTTTGCATTCACATTGCAGAGAATCAAGTTTTGAAACATCATCTTGAGCATTTGCAAATTGAGATTGCAGCTCTCTAAAGGAAGCCTTTAAAGCAGATTGTTCTCTCCCTAGCAATGATACATGCTCCTCTGTTTCACTAACATCAGCAAGTTTCAACTTAAGAGTCTGTATATCATCCTTTAGAAATTCATTTTCTTTTCTGAGATCATTAAGCTCCAACACAAGGGGAGATTCACGGTCAAGTATACCATGCTTTCCTTCCTTGACAGAATTCTTTGAGGACATTTCATTCTTCAGCTTCTCAAGCTGCCTTTCGAGTAGCTCCACATTTATCTTCTCTTGAGCTGCAACTTTAATTCGTGCATCTGTTTCTGCTAACTTCATCTCTAAATTGTTTATTTCAGCTTGCAAAGCCTCCTTTTCAGAAAGAATTTTATCAAGTTCTTTAAGTGCATGAATTCGAGCTTGATTAAGAAGCAAAATATCTGCATAACAAATTATTAAAGTGGCAAACGAATTATAAAGATAAAGGTAACAACTTCGCATGGAAGCACAAATAAGTATGCCTACTTTTCTCAGCATTCCTGATCATGGATATTAAGTCTTCTAGACGAATGCTTGAATGCGATTGTCTGACGTCATTCTCAATCTGCGGAAGAAACATATTATTCATAAAATTCAACTCCTTGACAAAAAATGATCAAAACAACTAAGTATGTGCACCAATTGGATATATAAGTTGTTGTAAGCAATCAATAAGCATCAATCTAGAGAAAAAAACAAAAGGTAGACAAGCAATATTGGAAAAGATCATCTAATGCATTTAATAAAAGGATGAACTTAGTTCACAATACTTTGCTAATGTGGGTTTGGGAAGGGTCAATATAGGCCTTACCTTTATATTTATAGAGAGGCTGTTCCTGAACAAACACATTGAATAAGTACACAAAAAATAGCTGACCACTGAGTAATAGTCAAGGGAAGAATATATCTCCTCACAGTAAAAATGAACTTTTTGATGAGGAATTAAGGAAACAAGGGAAGAATATATCTCCCCACGGTAAAAATATTTTGAAATTTGTTTGCATCAGTTGATGAAACCTTCCTATTTGTCATAACAGACCCAACAGAAAAGGTGTCCCAATATGTAGTCTATGCACACAAAGAACAGTGAAAATAATTAGCAAGTGATTTGCCACTCTATAGATTAGGTCGAAGCAGACGAATTCCAATGACAAATCTGCAACCTGCCGTATCTTGACGGCAACTGTATTCTACCAACCATTTACTGCAACAAGACAAAAGGTAAGAACCAATCTCAAAAGAGAAGGATCCAAGGGATAGAGTCTTATATGAGCCATGATAGCTAAAAGGTAAGACACCAAATGATGTTCAAAACATGCAGTCAAAATGACCTCTACAGTTCAAAAAAGAAAAAAAAAATTGCAATTAAGTGTCTCTATTACCAAAAGTAATAAGATGCATCACAAAAGTTAACAAAGAGAGTACATTACCACGATATTAGTTTCTTCAGGGGTCAACACTGCCACATTCATCTCCCTGTTAATATCAGAGTCAGCATCATCACTTGATATAGTTTTCTCGCCTGACCGTGATATACCAGCAACACTAGATTCTTGAGCTTCACTGTTGTTATTTTTATGGGATTGAGTGTCCATATTTAGTGGAAATTGCCTTGAAGGAACTCTTTTAGCTTGCTGTCTCTTTTGCTGGGAACTGTATACGATAAAGCATTTTCCCAAACAGCAGTTATGATATATTACAATAATTCTTCACAAACAAAAAAGTTATATAGTTAACTCACAGTAAATTTGAATCAAATTATGGTATAAAAAGTACAAACATATTACCATTTTCATTTGGACTTAATTAACTTTCGTTGCACTGGGACAGCAGAACATATGGTTTGTCAACAAGGTCATGCATGTGTTTTTGTATATAAAACAAAATAATTAAACCCTTCAAGACTTCTTTATTATGAAATTTTGGTACCGATAACACCTATGCATGTGCATCTTTTCATGCTATAAAATGTAAGCATTCATATGTATGTGTGCATGCATGAAATGGAAGGATGGTTCAAGGCTTCTTTGTTTTCTTAACAGACATATGAAGAAACGAAGAAAGCTAGCAGGTCATTTCATAGACGGATCAGTATAAGCAGGGGTATTTTGAAAGAACCAATAATTAACACAAAGTGTATCATTGAGAATTTTGAAAGTGAAAATACTAGCAAAAGGATGAATGCTTAAGCAGACTGTACATGAACAAACACTGGAAAAATAGTTGTAACAAAATGATACAATAAGAAAGGTACAAGGAGCTAAGAGCAAGAAATTTTGAAGCCATGGTTGGATGAATGTCATGAGGGAACCATGGGCATCAGGCCATAGGAAAATAAGAAAATATTGGAGTTCCATTAGGTAAATATCACAACTCATTCCTCATGGACTCTTAACTAGACTTCTATTCATACTAGCAAAAATTATCCTTCAAGAGATAAGAAAGAAAATAAAAATTACAATCAGTTGATTTTGTTTTATTGTTTCTTCTTCCTTCTTATTTAGCTGAAAGTTTTTTCCGTATGACTCAATCAGATAGAACTAAATATGAAACTGGGTATAACTCAACCAATCTAGTATTTTCACTCAACCAAACACTAAATAAACCGAATTTGAACTTGGACCATTTCCATTGCAAGAATTTTCCATGTGGAGAGAGTTTGTACAAAATTAGTTTGGGCATTCTGCATGCTAATACGACAAGATTGTGGTTGCACTGTGTCATAAACTGGCCCAATAGTCCTACTGATACAATAATTCAAACATAACGAGCATGAAACCATGCGGCCCAAAAGCATCATAACCCCTCCCATCTCCAGGGTACTGATATTTCACCTAACATGTGCATCTTTGATCATAATTCTGGAAGCTTCAGGATTAACTATCTATTTTGATGATGTATATCTAGGAACAATGTGGGATGAAATTGGTAAATTATAATAGGATTTCTATTTTACACTACTGAAGACCAGTTTTCTTCATTCCCCTGTTCTCTTCATCAAGTGTCATCTAAACTAACTGAAGTACTAATTGAGGTGTCACATACTGACTGATATTTCACCTAAAATGAGCTTATTCCATCATAATACTGGAAACTTCAACTGCTCTAACTTTTGATTCGATGATGTATATCTGGGTACAATATGTGATGAAATTGAATTATTATTCTATTGCTATTTTTAAGCTACCGAAGACCAGTCTTGTTTATTCTTCTGTTTTCTTCACCAAGTATCATCTAAACTAACCTTGTACTACAATTTTTTACCGGATAAACAAATGATTCACCAATTCCGTAGTTAAAGCAGATTTCATTAATCCTGTCGCAGCGATCAAAGTCACAAGAAGAAGCAAGAAACTGCAAATGACCAAAGAACCCCACTCAAGAAACCAAACCAACGATTCTTGAAGCAGAAATCTGTAGAAGCAAGAAAGTGCAAGTGACCAAGAACCCCAGCTCGAGAAACCAAACCAAACCAACGATTCCTCTAAGCCGAAACCTTCCAGTAAAGACCACCAATCGTCACAAGAAAACTCAAGACATCGTAACTGCCGACAACGCCAGTGAGAAATCACGGGAACCCCAATCGGCCGTTTGGAAACCGACCTACGCGATCAAGAAGGAAGCGGGGAGGGCGGACCTCAAGTTCCTGTTCCGCATCTTGCCAGAGACACGGAGCGAGGGGCGGAGGCGTGCGATCGGGGGGCGGGCGCGGGGCTTGGTGCAGCTCAGCCCGCGGCCGAGAACCAGGGAGCACGCCTCCGACGCCATGCGAGGAGAGCTCCAAGAAGCACAACACCAGAAGAAGAAACCCGGAGAGCAGTTAGGTTTCTTGGATGGTCATCGCCACAAGAAGAAACGAAGCGAGAAGAGAATCCTCGAGAAACGGATCTCCTCCCTTCCTCTTTATATAAAGGCAGCGCTTCCTTCGTTGCTTTGCCGTCTTCCTTCGGATATTTAATCTGCCTTTCCGCAGGTGTCTTCTGCGTCTGAGCGGATCGGAATTGACCGTTGATAGGGGGCTCCAATTGAGAAGCCCATCGATCGAGGCCGTCGATCGATATCCTGGACAACGACATTTAACTAGATCGAAGGATCTGGACCGTCGGAATAGGATAGAGAAAGAAGGGTGAGCAAAGGTGTGCTCGTATCACGAGGTCATAACGGTGTGTCGTGATATCGTGGCGGTCGTTGTCGTCGTGTGCGATGCACGTGAAATCGGTGTTGCAGCCAATCGCTTCAGCCTAATTATAGAAGACACCGTAAGGGCAAATTGGCCGACTTAGAGCACGACAGCAGCCACACTTCAAGTCGACGAAGTGTAGAATTAATCAACTAGAAATCACCCGCATTGATCAGGAAAAGACGAATCCTAAAGACAACGCGAGATACGACTGAGGAAACGACAGTAGACGCGGACCGGTCGGTTGAATTACCGCTTTGGCATTGGGTCCCTTTTTCTTAGGGTACGTGGCATGTGATGAGTGGTCCTAAATAATATATTCGATTATCATTTAATTCTTTCTTTGTCAAGATTTTTCTTAAATGGAAGATCTTCTTGCCTAGGAACACTCAAATTATGATATTACATTGTGACCTTTGTAGATAGTGTCATAGTGTTAAAGTTGTCTTAATACTAGCACCTCTGTCCTTGTATACAATATGTAAAGTTCGTGCAACGCCAAGCTCCAAAAATGATAGGAGAAGAAAATTTTTTCATGTTTCTTTGAAAAGTGAGTGCGACCATTTAGTTTTGCTTAGACCATCCAAAAATTCATCTGTCCTTCAAAACTAATAAGGCTAGGCTAAGAAAGATAAATTCTTCAAAATCATATATACCTTATCCAATCTTGTCATCATTATCTTTCTTCTAGTATCAAATTGTAAAAAGTTTTCATTGTGTAACATGTCAACTCGAGTCATGGAGTCAACCTGGTCCAGGTTTAAGCCCATTGCAAATTTGATGTTAGGGGGTTAGTGGATTTAAGACAGACCTACAAAACTAGATCAAGAGCATGCCAAAGGAAAGTCCTTCGATGATTAAATAAAAAAGAAAGAAAAATTATGTTGGATTGAAAGGAATAAACCTATTTAATAGCTCATCATTATCTATATATATAGAGAGTCGATTGAAATATTTGAGCATTGCAGCTACCATCGTTATTTCAATCATGTAGTCCACTCGCATGAGACGTCAAGTTGACAAGATATTTGAATAAGTGTCAAGTTAATTCATACGATGAACTGATGCGTTGTGGCTGATGAGTCAGCACGGCCTGGTGCACGGAGCGATGTCGGGAGTCTTTGGTCAGCTTAGCTGGATGCCGGAATCGATCGAGCCCTTTAGTCGGTGTATTGGCATTGCAATATTGACGTCTCTTCGTCGGGATGCTGATTGGCATGTCGGTAGGAAGGACGCCTCTATCGATAGAGATGGCCTCGCTTCTGACATTACCATTTTCCTACACAGAAGGTCCCACCGGGTCGTTACCGACTGTGGCCCTCGATAGGTAAGTCAGTGTGGGGTTCTGCTTTCTGCCTCCTTTTTTTCCTCCTCTGGTCGGATGCTGGCCAGGGGCTTTTATACTACTATACCGAAAAGCTAATTATAGGTTCTTCTCTTGGTCGTACGCGGGTTTGGCGTGGCGACCGATCCTCGAGGGATGAGATGATACCTTTATGCTGCCTCCGTCCTGGGACGTGGGAAACGGCGCCATGCGGTGCCGTCCCAAGCTTATCGGGACGAGACATACCGAGTGGCATCTTGATACGGTTACTGGCTCAACGCGTGGGGGTGCTTCTCTTGCTGACTTGGCTATGGCGTGGCGTGGAATCGATTGTAACGTGGCCTAAGCCCAAAGTATACCTTATTGTAAGGTCCTTGAGGGGGCGGGAGGCATGCCTAGATTGGTTTGTCATGAGGTAGTTCGAGGGTGGCGCCTTGTGCTTTGGGAATGATTTTGTGTTGTCGGTCGGGTGGCTGGGCCCATGCAGGGTGATGTTGACGAGTCACTAGTCAGGAGACCGAGCTGTGTGAGCTGAGAGGAGATGGCCTATTGGCCGAGTAACTGATCTCGAATCTAGGATTGTAGCGGGTGAGTCATAAGTCAGGAACCGACCTGGAGTGACTCGGGCAAGGATTGAACCTGTGGGCCGAGTGACTGATCTTGGGTTCAGGTTTGGTGCTGGCGAGTCACAAGCCGGGAAATGATCTGGAGCGACTTGGGCAAGGATTGGTCCTATGGGCTGAGTGACTGATCTCGGGCTCAGGTTTGGTGTCGACGAGTCGCAAGTCGGGAACCGATCTGGAGCGACTTAGGCAAAGATTGGACTTGTGGGCCGAGT